CATATGTCATATACTTCCGAAAGTTCACTGATTACATATGTCATATACTTCCGAAAGTTCACTGATTACATATGTCATATACTTCCGAAAGTTCACTGATTACATATGTCATATACTTCCGAAAGTTCACTGATTACATATGTCATATACTTCCGAAAGTTCAAAAGTAATCAAATCTGATGAATTGTTTTTAGTAGCTGCATTTCTGAAAGCTTTCACTCTCTCAGAGATTTCGTTTTAATGATTGCAATCGTTATAGTTTGCAGGCGAAAAAACAGTGCAAAAATGCTCATACCAAATATCTTAAGAAATATATCGTTAGGATCGATAGAGAGATAGCCATTTTTCTGAAGTCTTTTGGTATTTTTTATATTTCACAAATGCATCGCAATCATGGCATTGACATCGGTTTATCCATTCTTTTCGAGCAAATCTCATATTGTTACGTAAAAGAGTCAGGTTGTTGTTCCAGTATGGTTTCATGTAACATTTATAATTGACATGTGGTAAAGTTTCATTCTCTGCAGTTTTCATAGAATTGATCATTTCATCGTAATATCTTTCAATAGTTGTTACGTTAATTTGTCCACTAGGATACTGTAACGACCACATATTTTGTGACACTGCATACGAATAGTCTGTTATTGTGCCCTTATTTCGCGCAACTTTTGGATGATTTACAAACACTGGGGATTTTAAGTTAGCTCCCTTTCCAAGAAATTCGAACGTACAAAGTACTGGGGGATGGTCAGAGACACAAAAAGTATGATGGTCTAAGATACTCGTTCTCCGAATGTTTTCAGTTTTGTCAAAGTTAATTAAAATACGATCTATTCCGGTAGCCGGACCTCCATGAATAGACTGAAACGTACGCACGGGTCCGGTGCAGAGAGACTCCATATTTACAGACACTAGGTTATGTTCAATCATAAGTGAACGCAACAAATCATCACTTCTCTGGTCTGCTGAAAACATGTATCTTAGTCCATTGATTTTCGTATTAAAGTCGCCTAATGAAACTACAGTCCCGATTTCTTAATAAATAGCATATATTCTGCGTGTTCCCGAAAGAAATCAAATGAGTGAGTAGATGCAGGTAAGTATGCACAAAATGCGAAAAATGTTTCATTATTTCGAATATTAACTTCAATTCCCAGGATTCTTAGAGTTTATCACCGATATATACGAATAAATGTATTTCGAGACTAATAATGCTACTCCTGATCTATTATTAACTCTCAAGAATTCGGTATTTGATTCGTCTACGCCTTTCAAGGTAGACACAAAGTTGCTATCGATTGAATCAAGTATATGCAATTGATAAGATCGGAGCCAATGTTCAGACCGAGCACAAATGTTAATCTTATTATTACATAAGACTTCTGAGAGGTAGGGAATGCTAGAAAAGTTTCCTCTACAATTCCAACACATAAAATTTAAACTAGTCGTACCCATGATTATTGTTGTCAGATACAGGAATTGAATGTTCAGCTGCAAATTGTTCCTATTGCAACCACGGTTTAACTAAAATGCCCTTTGGCTAGAATTCGGGATTCATAATCAGTGCTTTATCTTCAACTGCGACATTCAGATGAGCAGATGCACTCCGTCTGTAGTGTTTGTCAATATATCGGAGGAAAGTCACCTTTATTTCCGACTATCTAAAAATGTACGCATTGCATTTTCGGATGAAGTCGTTTATCGATTCCGCCAACATAAAATCGGGATATTCTCTTCTTGTTTCGTGATACACCTCTATATTCGGAAGTTGAAGGATTACATACGGATCTTGGAAAGTGTACATCAATCTTTTTTGTGCAGTCGTTTCCTATTTCAAAGCTCTTTGATGCATGTTTTGTCCTTTAACAAATGTCGTTTCAAATTCACTACACAATTTAAAAGCAATTCTCTGTTACCACCAACCATTTCATATAGGGGGGTCCGCACGCATGATCACCGACTGTCCTGAAACTTAACCTCACCATATAATCAGGTGAAAAAGTAAGACAAATGCCTCTCGAAGTGTTGCTAGGCCACGGTTGCCATGGCAACCAAGTCAAGGAGTTTTCTCGTACATTTGGTGAATTTAGCAATGAAAAAACAAAACCAATTTTTATTTAATGATATTTCTTAATATTTTTTTAAGAAACATGATAATTTACAAACATAACAGCAATGTCATATATAAAAAAAATATTTGGGCTAAATATTGTATTAACTGCAGTAAAGCAACCATGTTATTCAGAAAACCCCAAAACTGTTATTACTATTAAAGGACTATGATGCGAAAAACTATCGAGCCTTAAATGACCTTCAATTTGACCAAAGGTCAAAGGTCATTGATGACCTTGCATATATTATTGGATTTTGTAAGACAATATAATAGAAAGAAGCAAACAGTATATGAGGAAAATGTTCAGGATGATTAAAGCCTCTGTTTTGTTTACAGGTCAACAAAAAGAAATCAAGGTCATATAAAAAGTGCTTAACACCCACCCTTATTTAATACAAAAGTACCTAGTAATCATACATATTTTGATTCAGGACTGTATAAATTACATGTATTACAAAGACCCTACCTAAAAGGCGAGGGGTGAATGTTATCACACTAGTCTTTAGCAACTATTCATCTATAGTAGTGGGAAAGTGCATAGCAACCATTCATTTGTATTGAAAAAGTGCATAGCAACCAATAATGTATATAAGAAAGTGCAGAGCAACAATATATTTTCGTTTCTTTGATACAAAGTCAAGAAAAAATTGATATCAAACATGCAGTTTTTTTTTTTTTAAATAAGTAATCCCTTTAAAGAATACATATTGTATGTACCGAATTCTTGAATTACGCTGACTTGATTTTTGTACACATGTATAATCCAGAGTTGTTAATTATATAGAAAATTCAATCTCAAGGTTTTAAAAATAAGGGTTTGCTTACAAAACTAAATACAATAAAGAGCTGATACACCCTTTGCCCTTTTTTCTCGTCTTTATGCTTTAAATGAATTTATTCTGATCAAATAGAAATACTGTGAGCACTGCTAAAAAAAACCTCCCGCCCCTACCTCCCAACACTCAGTGGTACTCAATGACAAAAAAAAACCCTTTTTTATGAATGAAGTCCCAATACTCCAAAACCTAAAATCAGAATTTTATAAAATTCGAAAGGGACCTTATTTCAATATATATATAAATAATTCACCAAAGTTTCATGAAAATTGCTCAAAGCATTTTTGAGATATAGTTAGAAAAAGAAAAATCACCCCTTTTTTATTAATAAAACCCCATAACTCGGAAACATAAAATCTAAAATTTATCAAAATCGAAGGGGAGCTTACGTCAATAGATATAAACAATTCATTAAAGTTTCATGAAAATTGGTGAAAGTGTTTTTGAGCTATTGTCCGAAGTGTTGACGACGGACGGACAGACGGACGGACGGACAATGGTATGCCATAAAACGTACCGTCTAAAGACGGGCGTATAAAAATTAGAAGATGTGGTATGATTGCCAATGATACAACTCTTCACAAGAGACCAAAGGTTATACTTAAGAAAGGTCCTTTAAATCTGCAAAAACAAGACGAAACGAACAAAATTGCTTAGAGGAAGACCAATTTATTTTTATGGTAAGGGTTTCGCTTTTGAGCAAAAGGTTTTGCGAATAATCAATTTCACCCGTCGAAAAAAATAGTTTCCGTTGTGTACACACCTTTTTCTTTTTTTCAAAGAGTATGTGCATCTGAATGTACAGAAAATTCATTTTCAGCATGTCTTGGGCAAAATTATTGATCTTCAGTTCTAGACACCATCACATTCGTTTCATTCAGCATCCCTTATCCCCATCACAAAATATAGAATGGTCCTTCCCTTGCTAAAAGAACTGCTCTGAATCCGCTCAATTGCCAGCTTTTGTATTTTGTGGATAATTAAAAACAAACTCCTTCTTAAAAATAAATACATTGTATCTTCTGCAAAATTTTACTCTTTTTCATGTAGATTTTATCTTGGTGTTCACATTTTCTCCCTATCTGTTATAGTTTTTAAGCTAATTGTAAAATCTCAAAATTTGGTTAAAAAAATTCTGTTCGGGCAATAACTGCTAAAGAAAATTGATTCACAATTTCAGCAATGTTAACCCATTGGTAAATCTTATCTTTTAGCTCATTTGAGCTGTATATTGCCTCTCTTCACTTATTAAAATTTTCAAGAACGGCAAAAAAATTTATGACAATTTCAACGTATTTTCACTGTTTCTTTTTTTTAAATATATCTCTATCTATTATAGTTCTTAAAATAAAACCCAAAAACACAGAAAGTGAGAGAAATCATTATTTAAGGACAACAAATGTTAAGTAGTTGATTTCCTATTAAGTTGTCTTAACTTATTTGTTGATCGTATTCCTCTAACATTTTTCTTCAAGAAAAAAACAGCCAAAAAAAATCATTAACATTATTTTTTTTTTCCCCTGGTGTATTTATTTTTTATTGGCAATCTATACAATAGCCATTATAAAGTGAAGTTTTACAACAATAGTAGAACCCAATCTATACGATGCCACTACAAAATGTAGTTTCTAAAAAAATAGCATAACTCATTTTTTACAATGCCACTACAAAATGTAGTTTCAAAAAAAATAGCTTAATTCATTCTATTCTATGCCTTTACGAAGTGAAGTTTCTTTTTCTTTTTCTTTTTTTTTACAGTTTATCTATTAATTTATTTATTTTTTAACAATGTGTCACACCTGGGATTTACATGAATAATACAGTCTCTTGGTCCCAGGTTGTCTATTCCTTCATTTTTTTTTAAATATCAAAGACAACTAGCTAATTTTATTTTTAAAGAAACCATAAAAAATGATTATTTTATTAAAATGCTTATTGTATTTCGATACTATGCGAATAAATGTCTTTCATGTGTTTATCAACAGAAATTTTTGTTTTATGGTGTATAACAGGAGTGATTTATATGCTATGTAATTATTGACATTGACAGGACATGTGCTTCGAACACTTTGAAATTTTCGATGAAGGATTATTTGGGAAATAAATGTATGCGTATTTATAAAGAAACATACGGAAGTGTATAAGGGACGAAACACAATACAATCTGTGGTGAGTAAAACGCTATTACAAAAAAAGTAATACAATTATGTAGTATGTAATATAAATATGTATAAAATATTAACTATAAAATTAACTTATATAAATAATGGCGATTGTTAGTAAATGAAGGTGTAAACAAACACTAGTTCAAAGTGTGCTTTTTGTATTCAAATGATAACTGTAACTATAATACCGAGGAACACGTTATTTCATTAAAATATATATATATATATATATATCTACAAAAGGAGCAAAGAATAAGCAAAGAATAAACAAATTCGACTATTAATAGTAGTTTCTATATTTGAGATAAACGGTCAAGTTTGTCTATTCCGAATGAGTGGTTTTGTTTTGTTTGATTAAGCCATCATTTTGATAAAATCATTCATATCTTTCTTAAAAATACAGAGGATAGATGTTTCATTTAATGCTGTTTTGTTGAATTTAATGTCGTTCCGACCTTTCCAATTACTAAGTTTTCCCGAAAACACTATAAATTTCCAATATGTCTTTACACTATAAGTTTCCAATATGTATTTGAGTTTTATCAAGATCTTGATTATATCCAATAATCTTGTTTTGGACATCAAAGATAAGCGTTATATTTATGTACAGATATAGCAATCATTTTATTTCTTCAATGACGTTTTGAATTTATTGGTACCGTTTATATTATTATAATAATAATAGAATAAATGCTCTTGGGTTTCAAAACATTTGCCACATAAGTTACATAGGCCATCCCTTCTTTCGCATTTGGTACAATTTAAATTCAGTATAATGTATATTATGTAGTGATTTCCATTAGAATTGGAAAATATTGTTTGATACAGGCAGCTTGTGAAGCTTTTTACAAACTGATTGCCAGTCTAGTTCGGTATTAAAAGAGAGGCGAATGATACCAAAGGGACATTCAAACTCATAAGTCGAAAATAAACTGACAACGCCATGGCTAAAAAAGAAACAAACAGACAAATAACAGTGCACCAAACATAGAAAACCAAAGACTGAGCAACACGAACCCCACTTAAAACAGGGGGTGATATCAGGTGTTTCGGAAGGGTAAGCAGATCCTGCTCCACATGTGGCACCCGTTGTTTTGCTCATGTTAGTACAAACCCGGTGATAAGTCTAATTCGGTAGGTCACATTCGGGGAAAAGGGAACGGGATTGTAGTTACGACAATTTGAACAATTCAGTTGTTATCTGTGAAACGGATATTCCATAACGGTCAACCAACTCGTGATGGCGTCCGTAAAATTTACGAAGGGACGATTTCAACTTCACCTCTTGGAACTACTGATTTAATATCTTTCTGTTAAATGTTCTTTTCCATTTAATTTCACATGTTGCACTAGTACATTTATTTAGTATTTTTGTAATGATTTTAATTGATTTTCTTCATGGGGAATAAATGTTCTTTCCATGTCATAATTTTTATATGTTGTTCCGTAGATTTTTATGATGCTTCAAATTAGTTGGATTACTAATGGCGCTTCTTAGTTCGTTAATCAAATCAGTGGGGATTGATTTCTTTATTAGATTGTATTCGCATATATCCAATACACCAGTTTCACATTTAACTGCGCATGTCTAACCTAATTAGCCAAACTATGAAATCAAACGATATTTCCCGAGAATTCATCGACTGGGGGCTAACGGTTGATAAGCAGTGACCATGCAGACATGGAAAAACAATCACCTGATTAAGTGTTTTCGTTTACATGTACATGCAACAGGAGGATCATTTGAATCAAAATATATATTGACGAGACAACTTTATTAACAATGACACATTAAATAAAGATTTTTGCACGGACTACTGTTGTGTTGTTGATTGTAGTAATCATAGTGTAATAGACTATCTGATATGCCGCCTGACTTTGTACCTTTAATTGTCACGACGAAATGCTTGGATTCGCTGAGGTCCTTCACTTACCGGGAAGAATGAATAAGATAAATATGCGGAGGTCACTTCATATTCCTATATTAGGTCATAAATTAAGTCAATTAACACCTTAGTCATGTGGAATCCTAGTTTTACCTCGTACAATCTCACCAGGTGACAGTTGATCAAAACGTACCCTTTTCTACCTGTAGTTACTGAAAAGGGGACGACCATTTGATATTCTGGCGCAAGCCAGAAGGATTTTTTCGGATTGAATATTCTTCATCTGATGCTACCTGGAATAGTATACTGTCAATATTTTATGTCCCAGTTGCTACACATGCTATTTTTTTCTGCACGAAAATTTATTTCACCTATGTACATAGTTATTTCTTGCAATTGTGTTGCAGATTATTCATTTTCATCATGCCTTGTGCAAAATTATTTATTTTCAGCTCATACTAGGCCTGGATGATCATTTTCAAATCATATCCCCCCCCCCCTTTTCCCGAAAATCAAATGGTCTTCCCCTTATACAAATGTTAAAAATGTTAACCCTGTTTCTGTATAAGATACATATATATCTAATTGGTAACAAGACACTTCGGCACCAAGACATTTCAGCACCTCGTTGTTTTTTTATACAGTTGCTATTAATTTATGTTCACTAAGATAATAAAAGGAAAACACATATTTACAATAAAATACATTATTACCTAAACAAAACTTGATTATATGAGGGTCTGGATGGGGGTCCTCAATTCTTTATTCTTTAATTTTTAAGCCGTTTTTCTCTAATCTTTATATGTTTTGCCTCTTATTCTCTATTCTTTATATTTTTGACACCCCTTTATTCTCTATTCTTTATTTTTTGGTCCTTTTTTCTGTATTCTTTATTGTTTGTGGCCCATTATTCTGTATACGTAGTATTGGTCCATTACTCTCTATTCTGTAAATCCCATACAGACGCTCTTATATTTGATTGAAGATGTGCACCTGTTATCAAAACATAATTGATTGTAAAGTTATGCATTAATGAATATTTTAAGAATCCATAATAGGTTTTTCGCAATAAAGATCAAAAGTGCACAGCTTGTGTTTGTAGATGGTGATCGTTTGATCTCTAAAGTTTTAAAGAAAACAAAATACCTGTAAATGAATTTTATTGTTTTTAATATTCCACTAAATTGTTAAGCTATAACGCGCAAGCCATATTATTAACATCCTGTATCAAGAAACAAACTTTAATGGAAGGCCACTAAACGTTGAGATAAGCAATAATTAAAAAGGTACATGGAAAATATATGGAACGCCACAGCTGTCTTATGTGGTACTCTGATATTACGTTTTGTTGTTTTATTATTACTTGATGATATTTTGTCTTTACATAATATGGTTTTGACATTACGTAATGATGTTTTGATATAACTCAATATGGAATAGTCATTACTTAATGATATTACGATTTTACGTGATATGGTTTCGTATTGACCTGATATGGTTTTTTCATTACTTAATATGGTTTTGTCATAACTCGATGTGATTTCATCATTATTTAATGTGGTTGTGTCATTAGGCAATGTGGTTTTACCATTACTTGATGTGTATGTGGCTTAACGTTATGTATTTGTTTCATTACATGATGTGGTTTTGTTATTTCGTAATAATGATTTGTCAATTCTTCATATGGCTTTAACATTACATAATGATGGTTCAAAATTTGACGATTTTACACTACATGATGTGTTTGTTCCTTTATTTGATGTGGTCCTGTCATTCTTTGATGTGGTCCTGTCATTCTTTCATGTGGTCATCACATTACTTGATGAGGTAAAGCCACAAATAAAAAAGACAGCTGTGGCGTTCCATAAAAATAAGCAAAGTAGGTGTGTGTCATTACGATGTGCCGATTTGTCTTGATACCGAAATGTCCTCCTCGGGTGCCAAAATGTCTTTTACAGGTGCCGAAATATCCTCGTGCCGATTTGTCTAGGTGCCGAAGTGTCTGGAATTCTATCTAATTTACACTGAGATATTAGGGTTAGTGCAACTGGATAGATTTGAATAATTTAGAAGGGGTCATTCAAAAATTTGATCTTATTTTATGGTAAAGCATACGATATATCCAGTTACTTTTAATGATATCATGTTGTAAATTTATTCATTAATAAAAAATAAGTAAATATATAATTTTCACAATAACAAGGATTGTACTAGTAAGATTTCCTCTTAAACAAATTCTCTTGACAATACCATGAGTACTGTCTCTTTAAATAATGAGGGGTTTTTTTGTTATAAAATGAGCATAAACCCATGCACTTATTCATGGTAAGGCATATTGTTGTTCTAAAATGAGCATAAACTCACTTATTCATGGTATGGCCTCAATATTTCTGACCTGACACTACGTACTTTTAATTGCACTTAATTCTTTAGAATTTACTCTGCATTTTTGTTTATGGCCAGCTCTCCATTCTCAATTTTACTATGCATGTTTCGGGTTTTTTTGGAAATTCCCAGGTAAACCCTTATCCTTTATTTATATGTTTAATCCGTATCTAACATAGTAGAAAGATGGGTGTCTGTTTCATAACTGTTAACTCTTATTTACTACACGTGCATATAAGTCTACGTTGTAGCTAGTCTTTTTACAGACTAAAAAAACTGATCAAGTAGATCAGCACTATTGTTTAATTATTCATATATAGAATGAAAAGACTTATTGTCTTTATTTCCGTAAACTAATCTATCATAAATCTATACGATATCTAGTAGAGATAGTAGTTATCAGTGCTATTATGTTGAATTCAGAGTATACTGGCGTGTATGTTTTAGCAATGTCAGCAATGTCAGCAATTGCTAAAGATATGATAGCTATTATATCTATGATGTCAGTGACAACTTCTCAAATAGCTATGTTTGCCGTGACAAAAATACTGTGTACTGTTTTTATATGTCTACCTGCCTCCGGCACACACCAAGAGAGAGAGAGAGTGATTTGTATTATCGGTTCGATTGATTTATTATTGTGTTGCCACATATTAGGGTAAATTGGATAGCCCCCTGTCACGTGTGATATCGTTAATTATCGCGGGATTTAAATTTATACGCGCATATGATT